AGCATCTTCCTTCAGCGAAAACAACATATTTACAATGCACAGGACATAAAATCTATAAGAAAATCAGCTTGAACTTCTACACAAATGTATTTTTTAAAACCAGAAACAGTTATGTACACTGTATGATATTGGCCTACAGTATCAGAACTTGGTTGTCAATAGTTGACAGTGTTTACATGGACTGAAGCATACGTTTGCATTGTTCACTTTGTCTTCTAACCCATATCAGTAGTCCACATTATACTAAATAAACCCATTCCTAAGATACACACATGGATTATTTGTACTATGCTCACCATTTCCTATTACAGTATACTCCATTAAGTGAGCGTGTTTCAAAACATCAAATTACACTGTGACCTGTAGTAATCAAACCTATACTCAGCTCTAATGGAGAATGTAGTCACTCAGTGTAATGGAACAGGTTAATATCCAATGAACACCAGGTACATCATGCTCTGTTTGTTTTGTATGTGTGTGTGTGTGAGAGGGAGAGAGCGACATATGATTGAATTTGTTATTACTCTATTGTGTTTACGTGCTTGTGTTTATTTGGATGTATGCATAAAACTATTAAATTTGCTTATATACGTAAGCTGCCATGTACGTTTATGTATATATGTGTGTGTGTGTTTTTACATCAATCTATCCATCTCTGCAGTCAGCCGTGTGTGTGTGTGTGTGCGCAAAAGGGGCAGCATCAGTGCCACACGGAATCACCCTGTCAGTCTCCATGTCTCTTCGTCTTCCCCCGGCGGCGTCACTTCTTTCCCTCGCTGCACAGATCAAAGAGCTGACACATGCCCCGATGTCCTTTCTCTCCTTCCCTCTTCTATCTTTGCCTCACACTCTCTGTCTCTCTGTCTGTCTTGCGATCGTAACCCTGTCCCTCTGTCACTCATTCTCTCTTTCTATCCGTACATCCAGGTTTCTCCCCGACTATATCAGTGGGGATTTTGATTCCATTACCGCCGAGGTCAAAGCTTTCTTTTCAGACAAGGTGAGTGGAACACAACTTGCACACACTCTCAGAGCTACAGGTGTACAAACAGACACACACACACACACACACAAATAAAAAGCAATAGGACTTTAGGCAGTTTGGACTTAAGAACTCTATACTATGCTTAGCCTAAATCTGGACCCCTTAACCACCTTGACATAATAGGCAACCGTAGTAGGCAAGACTTTCCCATCTGGTGTCACTGAACAAAAACTGACACCTACTATACTGACATTTTCTTGCAGAGCAGTGTTTGACTGCAGTTGGACACCAGTTTGAATTTACTGAAGCATTACTTTGTTTTTAGTGTACTGCTGCCTTAAAGCTCACAATTATATACAAGCAGTTACTGGGAGGTCAGGTTAGCAGCACATTGTGAAGACAAAAAACGAAAGAAAGTTAATCATGTGATTGTATACAGGACTTGTGAATAAGTAAACTTATATCCTCCATTTCTGAATAATTCCTGGGGTATTCTCAATTACTTAATGAGCTAATAAATGATAAATATTGTTAGAGCAGTGTCCAGGTAATTTATTTCATTGTGGTGACGTAAATACATCTGATCCTGAATATAGGCACATGTTCCCCAAAATGGCCATCATACTATCGCTGCATTTAGGAAACTGAACCATCAGCAACAAGATAAACTGTCAACTCATCAACATCATGCTTTGTGAGAATAAGCGCTTCTGCAGGGTTACAGAGCTGAGATCAGGCTGCCTAAGTGGATAAGTGACTATCCAGAGTTGACTAAGGTTAAGCAGCTTTTATGTTCGAAACTCTGCAGGAGTTTCACCTGCACTGAAAAGAAAATGCAGACTGAATCATCAAAGCGGGTACAACTGTGCAGCCTGACATGGCTTCAACTCTCAGTGCACTCAAGATGCATTTAGACCCAATCATCAAAAAACACCTCTGGAGGTGGTTGGGGTCACATTTTACAGGTATAATTCACTTCCTGCTCACCCACGATCAACTCTTTTGTTGCCTTATTGTTGAGTTGAGCCTCTTAGGCTGCTAATAGTGTAAATGAAATTCATGGCCTTAAACCTTACATCAATCCTTTTTAACCTAAACATAAAAAATGTAACATGGTGTTGGATGTACTTGTATAAATCTCTGTTTGATAAGCGACCAAGAGATGAATTCCCATGTAGAAATACCCAAATCTAAATCTTGTAGAAATAAAGAATTACATTAAATTACATTCTGATATGTATAAATATATAAAATATATATATATTTATATGTATTATTGATTCTTTTTCAAACTTCTCTCCAGTCGTTGCCTCCTCCCCCTGAAAATACCCTTTCAGGCCTTTTTCAAATGAATCAAATGATCTCAGAGGGAAAAATTACTTTTCGATTGATGTGCTCCTTAAAAACACGCAACCACAAGGTATTTTTTTTATGTTAATCTGACACAATAAAGAATACAACAAAAAAGTAGTTTATCCAAAATGTCTTTTAAGGCCCTGCAGATGGGGAACTGACTAGTGTCTACACATTCCACTGGGATATTACCATTACTATATTACTGGGATGTTATAAGATGTAAATGTATTCTACCATAACTATATATAAACATAGTCTCTGATGACATCCTACGTCATAGTCTCTCCTTCCTGTGTCCCTAGCAGTGCAACAGACTTTTTCATGACTAAACTCCCCAAGGTCATGAAAAGTAAATGCAAACTCTAATGAAATGTAAAAAATTTACTTTTTGCTGTTTATAACAAGCAAAATGTCAAACCAGAACACTTGAGAGATGAAGTACGGCGGTTCAGTAAATAATAAACACAGGTAGGGTGTCACGTAAACACATACACACCTCAGAGCAAAGAAAGTACAGCCCCTGTGTGGTCTTTATGTTGTGTTGCTCTCTCTGTGTGTTACTGTGATCAGAGCCCCACCGATGCACATAGCTTGAAATGCAGATCCAATACCATGCACACACACACACCCACACACACACACATACACACGCGCACACAGAGATATGGGTTGCCTTCAGCTGTGACAACCCCCGTTTCCCTCTCACCCTTTTCCCCTCTCTTTGTAGCTGTATGTAATATTATTCCTTTTTCACAAATATCACACAGGTTGCCTAAAAAAATGAGCAATACCTTTTTTTTTCCACAAGAGAGAGCAGACTTTTATGGTAATGCTTTAGGAGCAGAACAATGGGAAAGTTTGAGGCGTTCCCTCAGAGATTTGGCAGAAACGGTGAATAATTCTGCATAAATGGAAGGGAGAGAACAGAAAAGCATCCGCAAGGGAGGGGGAGAGACAAGGGGAGGCAGGGATGGAGGAATGAGGGAGGAGAGGGGAGGGAGAATGGATGGGATCAAACAGAGCACAGCGAACAAGTTTGTGTGAACTGACTGCACTGTGTGTGTGTGTGTGTGTGTGTGTGTGTGTGTGTAATTTGGAAGTTGGTGTGTTTTAGGAGGAAAGTGACAGTGTGTGGATAGAGAAGGAGACGGAGAGAGAGGAAGCCAGAGCATGGTTGTTTACCTGGATGCTGTAGTTCAGGGCCACTGACTGGAGCCTCTACATTATTCAGCAACACAGCCCACAGACAGCCAGACAAGACTAAAACACTGATTTATACCTCTCTCCATCTCTCTATCTCTTTCTGTTTTTCTGTGCTCTGTTATCCCCCTATCCCTTATCTCTGCCTGGCTTTTTGTTTCGCTATCTGTGTATGTGTACATCTATCTGATTATGTTTTGTTGCCTGTGTGTGTGTTTCCATTTTTCTTTGTGCGCAGGGTTGCAAGCTGATAGAAACGGCCGACCAGGATCTAACAGACTTCACCAAGTGTCTTGCAATCATGGTTGAGGAAATTCAGAGACAAACGTTACAGGTAAACATCCACTGCAGACCACACACTGACAGTGACATTTATATTGTTAAAGGAATAATCTGACATTTTGGTAAATACGCTTTTTTGCTGAGAGTTAACTGCAAAGACTCTCATACGTTAAATGTGAAGCTAGAGCCAGGAAACGGTTACACTTATAAAAAAACGGGAGCAGAGTGAAGCAGCTATCCTGGCTCTGAAGGTAACAAAATCTTACCAGCAACTCACTAATGAACTCATTATATATAGTTTGTTTAATGTGCAACAGGGGCTGGACTATTTCTTGGCCTGGAGCAGTGACTTCCTACACATATCGGTGTCAAGAAATGTTTTAATGGCTATTGTTACTGTTAGAATCAATAAAATGACTAGCAGTAGTTATAGCACACGGTGAAATGAATAAGTAAAGCTCTCCTGTCCATCTGCTTCTGAGAGTTTAATGCCCCGAAGCAAGGCATTCAGTCCTCAGGTACTTGATGATGTGCTGTTCAGAGGTCAATAATGTTGGACTGTCGTTGACTGCAGGCACAGCCGAGGTGTGAATGTGTGTGGGTGTATGAATATGAAACGGTGTGCTGCTGGAAAAACAACATGCATGGTCACTCAACATTCCCTGAAGAAATACGTCTTGAAGAATATCACTGGAATAACATCAGCCACATTTACGCCTACTCATAAAATGCAAAGTGTAATTGCGGTTTGCCCGATTTAAAATGAAATACTTTACTTTTGTTGTGATCTTTTTCAAAGTGTAAAGCATTTCCTAACAACCTGATATCCAAAAACTCCAAAATGAGCTGCCAGCCAGAGCGAAGCCCCGTGCCCAGCCAACTGCTGCAGAGCCAGGCACACAGTGATCTGATCCGGAGATTGACTCCATTTCCATTCCGAGTCTCAAATGTCAGCTGAATTGCACAGAATGTACATCACATTAGAAATAATATGTAATATAACAAACAGTGTATCTAATTCCAAGAATTTCAACAAAGAACATTATTTACATGAGCAAAATCAAGGTTAATGGTGTTTTCTTTATCTATGTATCTGTCTATATATCTGTGTATTTATCTATCCGTCCCCTTACTTCTGTCTCTTTTCCCTCCCTCTCACTCTTTCTCTTTATTTTCTCCATTATTAGACTTTTTTAGCAGCATGCTGAGTGTTGCTCCAATCACTGCCGAGTGCCCCAATCACTTCACATCTCTAAGCTGATGAAAGACCATGAGGAAGACTCTTGTAGACACACAAAAATGCACTTCATCTCATACAGTATGAACACGTGTTGCCACATTGTGCATTTTCACTTGGTTTTTTGGTGCCTGGCTTTCAAGAGAAGATATACTTTTGTCCTTCCCTTCCATGCGCCTTTTTTCCCCGGCCTGGCTAATATTTACTCTGCTTTTGAACTGGTGCTGAGTGTTTGTCCGTCTATCTGCCTGTGAGAGATAGGAGCCCAGCAATCAGTTTTTGACGTTCTATAAGAGTTGCTGATGATGACTTTTTTGTTTGTTTACTAGGATTTTTCCACATTTCTTTACCCACTATGACTCTTATTTGAACTTTTGTTCCTTTCAACACTTTGTGAATAGGACTAGGTTATACAAAAGCAGAACGTTTCTCATGATTTAAAATCATGCCTTGTCATCTTCTCCTTTTCTCACCTTCACTAATTTCCATCCACTTAACCTGTTTAAATGAATTAAGTACATAGAAGAAATAATAACGGGTGATTTGCAGATTACAGAGCATTGTGCTCCTGTTTGGGCTGTTTAAGATTCAACATATTAGCCCCTGAATATTTTTCTCCACACAGCTTAGCGCTCGATTTAGAGAATTTATCTCATATTATGCTGGGTGAAATCCCACAGAATGGTATCGGAGGATTACGGTGGCTGGATGAGTATGTGTTTGTTTGTGTGTGTACGTGTGTGTGTGTGTGTGTGTGTGTGTATGTATTTTTCTGTTTACATCTCATTGTGTGTGCATTTGACAGTGTGTGTATGTGTATATCTATATTCTGCATGTGTTTGTGAAGGGGTAGTGTGTGTGTGAGCTTTTACCTGTTTACATCTGTTTGTGTATGAACTTGTTAAAGTGTGTGTGTGCACGTGGGTATCCCAATGTCTTGTGTGTGTGTGTGTGTGTGTGTGTGTGCTTTTCTGTTTGTCTTTTCATACCGCTGTCCTTGTTAGCTTCTTTCTCCTTGCTTCACTGTTGCAAGCATAAGCAGCACTACTGTTTTCATTTTCTTTTCTCTTTCTCTGGTTCATCTGTTCATCATCCCCAATAAATGGATGTGAGTTTTTGTGTTGATCTCAGAGCCAGCGTCGCTCGCTCCGGCTCCCCCAGCCAATCAGGAGAGAGAGTACGGCCGGATCTGTTGGGCCAGCCTGTTGAATTGTATTCATTCAGTCATCAGATTCTCCTTGCCATGCTTTGGGTTTTCTTTTTTCTTTTTTAGTAAACAACAACAGAAACGGATCAAAATTCAGACTGGTATATAGAGTTTGATATGCGTAGCGGACACAACAGAAGTGTGATGGGAAGCGGAAGATTGAGCAAGCCAGTGTGTCATTGGACGGTGAAACACAATACACCTTTTTTTTTTCGCTTGTCATTTCTCCTTGTCCTCTTTCAGCATCCTTTACTTTCTATGAGCTTTTCTGTCCTCTGAAACTGACTGATACTCTTCATTGACACTGTTGGTTTGATCCCTCCACCCCTCTCTTATTTTATCCCTCTGGTAGGAGCTTTGGTCCTGTTGGGCATTCTTATGTATAAAAATCAGCAAGAAGATTGGATATATTTCTTTTTAGTTATTCTTAATGCCTGCCACCGGGTCGGATTCGGTTGGATTCCCCTTGAAATGAGGTGGTGGAAACACTACTGCTTTTGTCCACAGGGGCCGCCAGAATGAACTAAAAATGAAAGTTCCTTGTTACTGCTTTTAAATAAAAGTAATTTAAAATTTAAAATAAAAAAAATGAAATAAAAGTATAAAAATATATATTTCATTAAATAACCTTGTGTCCTTGTGCCACATGTTAAACTGGGTGACACGGTCCTGGTCCTGTAAATACTTACTCGGGCACCACATGTGTATTGATCTGTGGCAGAAAATGGTCCCCAACAAATTCACTCTTTACTCCTGTTACGATTGACAAAAACTAAAGTGCCCAGCTGTTAAAGGAAATAAGCCTTTTTTTAACAAAATTTTTGTGACCTGCTTTTAAAGATTTATGCCTTTTGTTGGAATGAATGAGCTTTGGGCTGAAAACCACAGATGGTATCAAAGCCAGGGTTAAAAGAAACAGACTGTTGGTTTTGGTCTTTTCTTTTCTTTGCTCACACTAAGTTAAAAAAATAAAGAAAAAAAAAGAAAAACAGCCTTTTCGGTGTAATACCAGGTTCAGATAGGACACATTTGGAAAGATTAAATCTCTGCGTAGGTTAATGCAGCGAGTTTCAGATTTGTTTATTATTTTGTATTTTTAATTAAATCAGAGGAAAGTATTTGACAACAAGATTTAAATTTTTTTCTACTTTATAACTCTCTCTCTCTCTCTCTCTCTCCTCTCTTCTCTCTCTCTTTCTCTCCTCTCTCTCTCTCTCTCCCATTCTCTCTCTCTCTCTCCCTGTCCCACAGACGGGAGTTTGTTTACCAAGTCTTGTTTACAGTTTTGGCGAAGCCTCTGCATGTTGCATGTGGGGGCGTCAGCCAGATGTTGAAATAACCTCAATCTTAGCGCTCGGTTTTGTTTTCAACTCAGGAAGGCAGGAAGTTAGTTACACTACATTCAGTTCAGTAAATAGTCCGTTCCCATCATGTACAGTAAGGAGCCACACCACCAAGTTTAATGTGAGTTCTTTCACCTTGAGGGAACTGTTAGTAGTTAATAGTAAGGGCAGATTGCTGAAGTAGTAAATACGTTTCAGCTATATGCTTTAGGACTCTGCAGGAGTTTCCTGTGCTGTAATTTATTAGACAACTTAATGCATACACTTACACACAGACAACACAGTCACATATCTGCAAAGTTAATAGAAAATATTTTAACTTCTTACTTGCTGTTTGTTTGTTTATTTCAATACATAGTTAAAGGGGAAAACACTGAAGTCAAGTTTGATTGATGGTATTTGGTTCATTTTCTGTGCGGTTGTGACTGTCAGTCGTCACCCTCTGACAGCGCCTCTGCCCTCCAGACTCTGTTGGGTTTTAGGGCTGTCAGCACTGGTGCTTGACTGCTCAGGGACTTGGTATAAGGATATAACTGCTGAGAGCTGTAAATATTATACTTAAATAAACTGCTGGCGCAAATTTAAAAAGAACCTTATTTCAGCTCTGAGGCTGCAGGAAATTGTATTAGTTTAATTAATCCACTTAGTTTATTGGATTTGCTGTTAACATGTTCACCTCTTAATTCTGGAGGCTGATGTTTACCCTCATTGTAATAGCCCAAATTCATTCTTTGATCTACCACTGATTGTTTATCCCCTCTATCTCATTTCTCTCTTAAAGCTCTGTGTCCTTGCTGTTTCTTTCCTTTAATGTTTGCTTGTCCCAATGGCATTTGTTGTTGTGCTTGTCTTTTTCCTCTCTGTCTTTGTTTAATGATAAGGCTGGCGATATTTAAAATTTTTGTTATTGTCAACAAATCCCATGAAAAGACCAAAGTCAGTAATGCATTAGTCTGTCTCTCGTTACATTCTGGCTTCATGGTAATGGAAGAACAAGTCACACAGTGTTTTTTTAATAGTTTATAGATAACAGAGGACCTCCATGATATGGAAGAATGAGTTGTATCAGATTTTGCGTACACAAACAATTCATCCACTGTTTTCTTTTTTTTTTTTGTGGGATTTGTTGACAGTGAGAAAAATAGAATATCACCAACCTTGTGCTTTAACTTTGCCAATGTTTGCCACTTTTTTATGTTTTTGGTCCCATTGTTTTGTTTGTTTGTCTGTTAGTTACCAGGACATCTTGAAAACTACTCAACAGATTTCTGCGTAGAACTTTTTTTGTTTGGTTTCTGTTTTTCCTCTCATGTCACTTTCCCTCCATTGAAGCAAACAACAGCATCCTGCCAGAGAACCGGTCTCGTATTTTGTATTTCTTTTGGCATTTTTTTGTGTTTTACAGCTTTCTGTTTGTCTTTCCAGGTGGATGCCATAGTGACACTGGGCGGCCTGGCTGGCAGATTTGACCAGACCATGGCATCTGTTGAGACCCTCCACCACGCTCTGTCAATGACACAACTCCCCCTGTTGATCATACAGGGGACTAGCCTGGCATACCTACTTAGACCCGTGAGTGTGTTACGTGTACTTAGCTTTATGCATTGACAAGCCGCTGTGCAATGATTCTGTCTTGTCTATTGTTTTCTGTTTTCATTTTCAAAGTCAGCTGGTCATTTTCTCACAGGTGTAGTGAAATACAACTAAAGGGGAGGTTATACCACTTATAAAATGGTTGCTGCATCTCTTTTTAGTGCACTTTTCATAAAGCTTAAAGTGGACTTATTATGGCTGTATTTCACACACAGGCAGACCTATTTTCACCACACTAGACTAACATCCTGCCCTCCTGCTCTAACATCCCCTACCCCTTCTAGTCACCTCTCTCCCAGTCTGTCTCTTCATTTTCTGCTCTCTCTTTTCCCTACTCTGCTTTCACCTTGATTGGAGTGTTCAACACTTTGTTTCTTTGTTAAGTAAATGGAAACACAAACCCACACACACACTTTCACACACACTCTCTCACTTCTCTACTCTTTTGGTGCCCCAATTTGCTGTTGTGCATGAGAGACTCTCTTTTGATGCTCCCAAATTGTTTTTCCTCAATGCCAGCCACTTTCTCATGCTCCTCAGTTGATTGAGTTTACAAGTGGGCCGAGCAGCAGCCATTTGGGACACACACTGCCCCCCCTCCCCACTCTTTTTTTTCCTCCTCCTCTGTTGTTTATTTGCAGGAGCTTCAGGACAAACAACCAACTGTCACACTTCTTGATGACACCTTGTAATACGTTAAGTAAACCTTTCTCTCATGCACTCCCTCCATACTTCTTGTCATTATTCCAAAGGCGCGTTGTCATTTGCTGCTTCATACCTCGACACCTCCAATTAATCTTACTTCAGTGAGGGTAAATTAAGCTCGTTTGTCAACGCGGCTCCAATTCGCTAGCGACTGATGAACGCAGACGCCTGTACATGAAGGTGAACGCAACCTTCGAAAGACCCAGTGCTATTTGTTCAAGTTACATCTGTAATTGAAGTGTTTACAACTTTTGCCAAATATCCTCACCGCCCATATTCATGCAATCACAGCTTTGTTACGTGCTTAGTTTCGGGATTCGGTCGGACAATCAATACATATAGAGAGGTCAAGTGCAGTACACGATCGAACACAAACATGCACAAATTAAGACAATAAATAAATTACTAGTTATTTCCATTTTGCAAATTCGACAAGTAGTGTATTTCACCTGAAAATATAGCTATCCTTGAAGCTACTTATAAATACAATACTCCATTGAACATGGGCATTGTAGAAAATCAGTGAGACATTCTTCTTCATTCCAGAGTAAATCGCAGTATGAGTATTAGGTATGATCTGATTTATTCAGGATTGTGCCTGTTTGTTTTAGCTTTTGTTTCCCAGATGAGGTGTCAAAGTTTTATTATGCTATCTTTGGGAAATATGCAGAAGTCTTGTGTTTTGTATAGCTGGCTCAGGGCATTGCATAATTCTCATGTCTTTTATTAAACCATGGGTAGGGACACTGCAAGTGCTGCAGGCTTGTTTATTCTGAGTCCCTACACAACAATAAGATGTTTTAATCACTCAAGGTCCCAAGGTGACGCTAAATTTACTCAATTTGGATCTAAAGAGAAAAAAAAGTTGCACTGAGTTCATCTGTTTTTTATTCTCTTGCTGCTCTATGGCGTCTCGGTCGGAGGGCCAAGCAAAGCCATATTTACTTAAGTTGGTATCCCAGCACCTGAAGATACTTGAAAAAAACTGCTCTCTGTGTTGTGGGACAGGAAATGCACAGTGCTGTGTCAGCCTGATCGGTGCTATAAATCATTCCATAAGCGCGCACACTCTAGGTCAAATGTACAAGCTTGTTTTCCTGATGCCCTTTTGAGGAGTGAAACTTGTCAGTACAAGAGCTGATTTAAATGATTAAGTGTGATAGCTGAGGTGTGTTAACTCATCCCAAATTCCGCTGTGCTAAGTTAGCAACAATGTGGCATTCAATTCATATAAATAAATATAGACATAAGGTAAAGGAGTCACCTAGGATGGTCTGTTCCACATAGAAAACCAGCAGTATCTTAATAGAGGCGGCCAATTGATGAGGATTGAAGGTATGCTTAATTGTGTTATTAAATACTTTATGTCTTTCTTGCTACAATAAAGAACATAGGAAACTTTACATCTGCTTTGCCAATAAATCCCCCTAAACCTGCACACTGGACCTTTTTAAGTACAGCCTTAATAGCCAATAGCCAATATATATTTATATATGTGCTTAATATATTATTTTGCATGGTTTACTGTGTCACATACTTCTGTAGTGGTGTCTGTCCAAACAGATACCAGGCAACTTTTAAAAATTAAGCTTTCCCTGCAGGAGTTTCATCTTCATCCCTCCTCTTTCCCATGTATCAGCTAAAAAGTTGCTAATGCTGTTAGCTCTACAAGTAGAGGTACAATTTAAAACTAAGTGGAGCCTGTCCTGGATATGTGTGTGTTCATGTGCAGGTGCACATGCATTTGTTTTTCTTTCTCTCTGTTCTTCATACACTGTCTCACTGACACACTTGCACAAAGAGACTGTGTTTATGTATAGAAAATAACCTCAGGGATGTTTCCTGAACACCAAATGCTCCAAAGCTTAGAATTTCCCCTTCATTCCTTCCCGCAGCTCCAGGAAGCCAAACTCTGCTTTAAACATATCACACTTTCAAGATTTCAAACTCTTAATTTAATGTGCCTGATGTTTTTGTGTGTCTGTATTATCCTTTTAGATGACGAATCTAACTTCTAGCAGTCAAAGCTTTTTGTGTTTGTATTTGTGCCAGGGTGTATGACAGTTTGAGCATACATGGCACTTGTAGACTGCAGACAGTGTTTATGGGACACAATTATCAAACTTCAGGTATTTTTGGTTTCTTGCAGAAGCGAGGTTTCCTTACCAAACACATGTATATGTAGATGTTTCTTTGTCTCTTTTCTACACACTGTGAATGAGAGAAACTTTGTTTTGACCTTTTTACATTCCAAGATTAGGCTTTATTGTAACCAGAGCAAAGTCATTATTCAGAGTTTGACACTACCTTGCACCTATACTTGGTGATGCTTGCTTTTTTTCTCAAGCCCTAGTTTCTCAAAGAGATACCATGACATTTTAAAATTTTGTTCATATTTATTTTCTTTATAGAGCACTTCTAAAAATTCTTCACTGTATCTCAAAAACATTTCTTCATCTGTCTCAAAGACTTCTTAACACTGTCAACTATCCTCCCCCATCATTGAGATACTGTTCTAAGCTAATAAAATACACTATAGTATACACTGTTCATTGACCCCAAGTGAAGTAGAACAGTACAACCTGTGTCTGTAGTGTTCAAGTGAAAAGCTGGTTGTTCGTACAGTTATAGGGTGTCAGTACAAAAATGTTTTGACACCCTGTGACACACAGTAAAATAGACTATAATTCAAAATGGCAAGGTATCCTTTTTAAGAGTGGGTAGGAACTGAAAATAGGTTGCAGAATTGACAAGAGCAATAATTTATTTTAATGAGCCTTGTTCCCAGGGCGGGGAAGCTCAGTTTCTCATTTGGGCTGGAAAAGTTTAAGAAGTCTTGCTCCACATTTGTTTTTCGCTTTTGATTTTTTTTCTTTTAATCTCATTGTTTCCACCTGTCATTGTCTCTGGCATACGTGCACACAGACACGCAGATAAATACTCATTCATTTTCACACTCATGTTGTGTGTCGGCAGGGCAGCCACAGACTGGGGGTGAACACAGGCTTGGAAGGGGACTGGTGCAGCCTCATTCCAGTAGGTGGACCCTGCCAAACAATCACCACTGGGCTCAAATGGAACCTGAGTGAGTCCCCTTTTTTTATTTTTAGCATTTGAATCATGCTCCACAAGCAATAATTAGTCCAACTCCCCTTGTCACTAAATTTGGGAATAGCCAATTTGTTTTGTTCATATAAAAACAACATATGCAAATTGATGTGTGAAAGTCCATTTTTAAACTTGGAAAGTGTAAACTATCATGTTCATGACATTTGATCATTAGCATGATCAGTGCCTCTAAAATTGTCCCACAGTATAAGGCAACATGTTCCACTACATTTGTGTGCAAGTTTCATTCACAAAAATGTCACCAAACACTACATGAGAATTACAACTAGTGGTTGCTGTGCTGAAATGTGCCAAATAAAGTAGTCAATTTCAGATGTCAGTAAATTGGAAAATCATGGTAAAGATAATATGGTAAACGGAGTATACATTTTGTATTGTTTGTTTTTTTAAAATGTATTTTTCTGTATTTTTCCCCTGGAGAGAAGCAAACTATAAGCCCATGTCTCGTATGACAGGTCTGAACCACTTGTGAATTTCGTTGGTACTGACGAGAATCTTTAGCGCCACCAATCTTTACAAGTTGGGAAGATTGGTGGTGATATGTAGCCTGAGGAGTGTTTCAGAAGAGAAAAGGAGAGGACATTCTTGGCAGAGAGGATGGTAGACCAGTCTGCTGATATCACAGGGGAATTTAACATCAAATGATGAAAAAAAAAGAGCAACTCCCTTCCCTACACATAACCATTAGTTGCCAATGCTGCAAACTTAAATTTGCATTCACAGTGTAAACAACATCCACAGAATTTTCAACATGCATAATACAATACACTAAAGTACAGATCCTTCATTTGAATCAGTTAAATGAAGCTGCAGTATAAACAAGATACATGTATTGAAGACACATATATGCCTCAATGAGCTTTTTATATTCTTGAATATTGTGTGAAAATCCAATCAGACACCCGTCTGAGGACCCCTGTGGTCTTACCACACTCTAAGCCTTACGGCCAGCTGTGTTCTTAATGAGTTGGCACAGACCAAACTGCCACCAGGACGAGGGAAACCTGGACCTTCTGTCAGTGGGGTTGCATAAAGTGTCTGCTTCTTGGTGGGTGTCCACTCTCAGGGTCTGTTTGTGCATGTGTTTATGTTTCTG